CACAAGAGTTCATAAAACCCGACTGCAGACAGTCCTCTCCCCATCACACGATAAGCTTCAATATTAAAAAGTCAAACCCACACTCAAAATAAGTAAGTGATAATTTAAAAAGGAGCCGGGAGCAGTGAGGTCAGGTCTAGGAAGGATTGGGCCAGAAAGAATGAAGCCATGAGGGAACAGAATTTATTATTTGAGAAAAGGATTACTTCCGGGAGTCAGAGCTTCAAGAAAGCTTGTGGTCAAAGCTTTGGTGGGTCTGTTCTCCAACTAACTGTGGTCACAGTGGTGACATGACCAGTCGCATCGGACACATCCCCACTGCCTGGCCTGGTTTGACCTTCTGGCTCTTGCTGTCAAATGAAGCTTCAGTCCTGGCCCCAGAGCCTTGATGTGACTCCCACCTGTACTGTCTGCTGTCCCAGGAATGGTCAGGTAAGCCAGGGGGCAACAGGGGATAAAATCAGGTCAGGTATCCAAACTAATGAATAAGTCTAAGGTTTCAGTGTCTGAAAATATAGAAAAATAAAACCCTTAGTGAGCCAAATCAGTGAAAACAAAAGGACTGTACATACTTAGAAATGAAAAATGGAGACATTATCATGAACATAAAATTTGAATCCTAAGTTCCCATATTGCAAAACTATGTAGATATACTGAAAATGGAGTAAAATTAATTTTCTAAAAAAATATATATATTCCAAAATTGACTTCAGAAATGCCCCAGGACCTAACATGCCCAGTGGGAGAAATGCAGAAGCACTCCAGCGTATGCCCAGACAGCTCCCCACTCTGGTGAGACATTTGACACTTAAGTAGATGATTCTAAAACCCAGTAAATGATTGCAGAATATACAGCAATCTTTGGTTTCTTTTTGTTTTGCACACAAGAACAAGCTGCAGAATGATTCATCTTCTATATGAAATTGATAGCAAAAACCATAAGTAGAGATTGTCTCAGGAACATAGTAGTAGATTGGTCTGAAGCAATCTATTAAAAGACCATGTCCTACAAGAGCAAAGGGAAACCCTTCTAATCATCTCCATGGATACTGAGAAGGTTGTGAGAAAAAAAAAAAACCCCAGCATCTATATTTGCCCCAGAAAGCCTTAACACTTTGAGAATACACAGATACTGTTTATTATAAGGAAAATACATGCCTTCATTCAAGTTAAATGGTGAGACATTAAACCATTCTATTGATGTCAGGAATAAGACAGGTATGCTGCCTGAATCACTATTCTTTAATACTGTTCTCAATGCAGCTGGCTAAGAGAAAGAAATAAGGGAAATTGGTGGAAAGGGGGAGGCAAAAGAAAACCTTAGAAACAGTAAGAAATTACAATTAGGGTATTTGATTATAACACTGATATACAAAATCAACTACTATCCTATATATCTGGTGAGAATACAAAATATAAAAAATTATTCCATTGAAAATGGTAGCCAAATGATAAAATATCTAGAAATAGACAATAACAAATTCATAGGATCTATCTGAACAAAACCATAGACTCTATGAGTGACATGAGATGTGAATATAAGTTGGATGGCAGCATTCTTGGATAGGAAAACAATTAATCTATAAATTCACTGTGGCCCCATTTGTTAAGAAAGTTATGTGTGTGTGTATGAGAAAGAGAGTTAAAGGGAAAGAGAGAGGAAAGTATTATGAGGAGCCTTGACCTGAAAATATTTATATTAATATGAATATTTTATATTAATAGGAATGAAGCCTCAGAAATTAAAGGAATTCATAGGGAGATAAATCAGTAAAACAGAAGTAGATTCAAACACTTTGAGGAATTTAGTTTACAAATAAGGTGGCATTTGAACAAAGGGGTAAAAAACTATATAATTTTATACCAGAATGCACTGTTATATATTTTGCTAGCACAACTTACTAACCATGTAGAGGGGAAAAAAAAAATCACATCTTTACCTTCATTTCCTGCAATAAATGAATTCCTGGGAGTTAAGAGTAGGTAAAGATAAACAGATGAAACCATAAGGATTTAGAAGAAAATATGAGTAAATTTCTTTATAATCTCAGAATGGGAAAGGTCTTTTAGAACTGGAAATAAATTCTAGGATCTAAAATGGAAAATAAGGATAAATTGACAACATAAAATTTTAAATTTTATGTATGTGACAATAAATAAGAAAATCAGTAGAGAACCTCAAAAGACAAAAATATTTTCAAGACATGAGACAGAAAAATTTCAAAATATACGTCCAAATTAACTAGGAAAAAGCCAAAACTGTGTAAGGACATAAATTTACGAAAAAGTGACCAGAAAACATTTGAAAAGATGTTCAGCTTCACTCCTAATAAAGTGAACTAAGTCAGAATAATATTGTAATATTATTCTTCACTAGACTGGAATAAAAGCTGTTTGAGAAAACTGAGAAATTGATCATTTCATTATACTCTTGATAAGTGTAACCAAAGATCAATTTTTGAAGAATCATCTGACAATAATTGACAAAAGTGTTAAATAGACATAATCTTAAATTCAGCAACTCCATTTTCAAGTTCCAATCGATATCAAGATACAGTCACAAAAGTATGACATGATATAAGTACAAGGATGCTAATTCTAGATCTGTGTATAAAAATAAAGACAGGAAATATTCTATAGGTTCACTAATAAAAGACTAATCAAAGAAATTAATAGTGCACAGGGACAATGGAAGGTTAAGCAGCTATTAAGAATGAGGTAGTTCCTTATGTGTTGTTATGGAAAGATCTCTTAACATCAAATGAAAAAAGCAAAGTGCAGGGTGCTGTACACAGCACAGGTTCTAGAAATGGACAGAAAAGGAGGTTCTCTCTCCACGTCCCCTTTCTCCCTCCTCAGTCTCTCTCCTTTCGTTCCTTTCTGGAAATGCCCATCCCTCCCCAGAAGCTCACTGGTGGTCCCCTATGAGGAGATAAGGCAGGGGTGGTGGTGGGGGCACTTATTTTCAGCCCTTCATACTTGTCTTTCTACATGTGCATCTTTTCTTATTACTACTTTTTAAATCACGGAGTAGTTATTTGCATGGTCAAAATCCAAACTCTGTTAGCCTTTTTATGTTTTTCTGTATAAAATACAAAACCAAAAAGGTTTTTTAATTAAAGCAAAATGTAGTAGGGCTCAACTTGGAATAGCAATAAGAAATGAAGTACACTCTTTATATATCAAAACACTTCTAGTTGTTTCTAAAGACACTTTAATAGAAAAAAAAATGTGCATTTTTCATCCACTCCATATAGAATGAGTGCACTCTGAGGACAACCCTGCTCCAAACGGCATAATGCTGGAATGCCCTTATTTATCAACTTTCTTACTGTAAACCAGGTACCTTTTCTGAAGTTTCTCACATGCACATGTTATCACACACATAGACACAGAGAGCAGGCATGCACCTCCCTCTTCCTCAGTGCACACAAATCCGGCCAGAAGTGAGTGAGCTAAATGGCTGGAGAAGGCCATGCAATTTCTTTTGCTTGAAAAATCAAATCTTCCCTCATAACGTAGCCATTTCAGAGGTTAGAAGCAAATTAAAGATCCCCAGGAGCTCAGACATTTTCGGCAGTTTTGAGCTCTGTGAGTTTACTAAATGAAATGACGGAACAGGACAGGCTGTCTTGTCCTGTGTCTTCCTCTGATCACATTCAACAGTAAGCATGGGAGAAGCAAAGTGACGACTGTCAGGTAGAAAATCTAAGTAGAGAACTGCGTCACCACTTGGATTTAAAAGAAAGCCCCCTTGTTTTCAAAACACAAGCTTACAGTGAATCTGCTCATTCAGCCAGCTCTTTGGGCTGAAGAAGCTGAGCCCTGCCAAACCAGAACCGGAGTTAATGGGTATGCAGCCACTGCTAGTCTATCAGCCTCTCCTGCTAACCACCACTTGCCTGCCATTCAGGAAAGCCATCAGCCACACCACCCCCTCCCCAGTTCTTGCAACACAGGGAGCCAAAAAAGGCCCAAGTCCCTGCCTTTTAGTCCTGACACAAGGAGAAAATGCATGGAATACTCTGGTGACTTTATGTTGTGCATTTGTTTGGATCCACAAATTTTATAAGGCTAACCAACTCCAATATACGTGAAACATTTAATACACTGTTAAAAAAATAGATGGTTTAATTTAGCATCAGCTATTATTACATTGGGTGGTAATTCTAATAGAATTCTACTTGTCCTCTGGGTTTTGGAGAATAGAACAGATTCACTCAACCACCTGGTGCCTAGGGGCAGCAAAGGAAGCTTGAGAATATTTGGGATCTACAGAAATCCCCCTGACTGAGTCTGGTCCCAGTTTAGAATCAACACACACCTGTGTCCATCGTGATTCCCAAGAGGGTAAGTTGGCAAAAATCAGGCTGGCAAAAGCATAATTTACAGGATCAAATATTACTGTCTCTTTTAAAAAATGCAGACATAACATAGAGGTGTTTATCAACTGTCTTTGGTAGAGAAAATTAAAGTCTGAATTGAAGAAAAACGAGTAGTTGGGTTTTACCTTTTAGTTTAGTTTGTTTCATCAATCATCTGATGGGTTTACTGAGTGTGGTTTATTGTGATTAACTTCAATCTAGGTTTGTACACAGGCAAAAGCAGGTATGAATTTTCATGTAGGCCCTCATGGCAAGTGACATGCAGGCATGCAAACCCGCTGTCCAGGCCTCCCCTGGCTGTCAGTCCTGAGCTACCCCAACCTCTGAAGAGCTCACCAGGCAATGTGGGATGGACAAAACTATCCTCGGGGGTCTTGCTGACCATAAGGATGGCTCCAAGGATATCAAGTGGCCCACTAAAGAGGGGTAAACTGAAATGTGCTGAGATCCCATTACTGAAAGTAACAAGGAAACTGAAACTGACATGACAGCGATGGGGTACATATGTGTCTTTTGGGGTTTAATGCTGCTGTGGCATCAGCCATCCCAAGTTCTCTTTAAGCCATCATCATCATGTATCTGTGTACGTCCTACACGCTGGGAGCCAGGGCTGGGTCAAGCGAAGTCTTTGGACACAGCTTCAACGAAGTTGGGTGCCGACATCAGGATGCCGATGGTGCAGAGGATGGTGAAGACAGAGAAGGCCATGAGACACAGGCGGTCCACCACACAGGCCGCAAACTTCCATTCACTGCACACGGCCTCACTCTCATCCTGGCAGCGGAAGCGGTGGGCGATGTAGCGTACCTCCTCCAGGATCTTGGCCAGATCCGGGTCCCCCTCAGAGGGCTGGCCACCATGCAGCAGGTGCTCGTCATGAGTGGGGGAGCAGGCCACGCGGCCGCACACGACCCCTGAATCAGGGGTGGGTGCGCAGTGCATGCTGTCCAGACCACGGAAGCCAATGTACAGCAGGTTGCCATTGGTGGCTGGTGGTCCCGCCACTGCGCTCATCTCCACGCTGGCCAGGCTGCAGCGGCGCTGCTTGTGCTGGCAGGCTGGCCGCACCTTGTCCTCCCCCGGCCTCTTCATGCGAAGGAACCAGGCGCACCAGTTCAGGAGGATGACTCTGGTCTGCAGAGACAGCACAGTTTTAGAAGTGCTGGGCAGAGCCCACGGCTGATCCTGACAGCAAGGGGGACACAACTGTAATACCTGCTAGCCTTCGTGGGGGTGGACCCTAGGGGTGACAGGTCACCACACCTTCCCAGGCGAGTTTATACAGGCAAGCAGTGCCAACGGGGTATGATGGTTCAATCAATTGCAAGGTGATGATAAAGCAACGCAGAAAATCACCCTGGGAAGCAGCTATGGGTACAGTGCCATCTCAGGGAAGACAGCCTGTGTGGGTGAAGAGGGTTGTCTTCTAAAGGGAGCCCTGAGCTGGGGAACAGAGCATTTTACATCTGGAACTAGGGATTGTCATCTTCAGCTCTGTATGAGGCACCCCAGTGTGCAGCAGCAAATTCATAAAGGTGCCCCTGGAGATGTTAAGTTTTAAGGGGCAACCCTGTGACACTTAAGACACCGTGTGCATCCCTAGCCTGAAGCAGTCCAGACTGTTACATTAGATCACTGCATTCCTTGCATGATATCCTACCCTTGCAAAGCAGATTTTGGAACTTGTCCTGATAAAAAGCAAGTGCCAAGAAAGTCATCATGGAACAGACAAGCAGGGGAGCATGCTCCAAGGTGTGAGGTTTGCTGTGCCGACAGGTGCTTAGCTGTCAGGGCATAAGTACTTAGTAAGTTGTTTTGACCTGTTTTATTTATAGAAACATTAAGTATTCCTTCTGTCTTAGATGCTCTCTGGAAAAAACAGAACCCTGACTCATGAAACGTGCTGTGAACCATGGCAGCTTAGGAACCTCTAACCTAATCCATTAGGCTGCAGTGAAGACTGAATGAGATGATACAAGACAAAGTGCTGTGGAAAGTCTGAAGCTGGGGTTGGCAGACTTTCTTTAAAGGGCCAGATGGTAAATATTTTAGCTCTGCTGATAGAGTGCAAAATCAGCCCAAATCCTTTGCATTTATGGCTGATATACACACACATATATATGCACTGTGTGTGTGTGTGTGTATGTATGTAAATATATAAATCACTTTACACCAGAAACTAACACAGCACTGTAAATCAACTATACTTGAATAAAATAAATTTTAAAAAAAGAATCTTAGGCTCAAAGAGATGAATAAACTGGCTCAAGGTCAGTGAGCCTGAGTCACCTTATCTGTTCTGACTTCCACAGACTCATTCATAAAAAGGTCTGTCTGTTGGGTTCTCTGCAAACCCTGGTGACTTTAGCCCAACCCCCACTGGGAAGGCACCAGAAAGCCAGAGCCAGAACTCAAGGAAGCACATGGGGTCATGAATGTGCCCAAACCCAGACTCAGCGGTGCAGGGAGAGCTGAGCCTCAGATCCAGGGCTTTGCCTGCCACACACGTGGGGGTCTGCGCATCCCCTGGGGCACAGCTCAAGCTAAACTATTTTGAATTTTATGGCTTGAATCATTAGCTTTCAAGGCTAAAGCATCTCAGAAGATGAGATTATCCTTTTGGCACTTCTCAGTCTGTGCTTGTGACCTCTTCTGTTAGGTTATGGTTTTGTTTCTGGCTGTGCAAATGTCACATAATGCCACCGCACCAGCAGTGTTTTCTTCATGGCAACAGATTATAATGAAAGCCCCTTGGAGGTTGTTTATGTTTCAAAAACACATAGAAAGAAAGTTAAAAAATGCAGTGTGTTATATAAAATGAAAGAGAAATACACATTTCATATATGCTTTGCACCATTGCTTTAACATGTTCTCGTGCTGAGAGGTGAATAATCAACATATACTCTAATTCAGATTTCTCTGGAACAGTAAAATGCTACCAGGTCATTAAAAATGGTTTTATAACTCACTGCCTTAATTTCCTTCTCTGTACAACAGTCAAAACAGATAAAATAAGAATATGTGTTTATATTTTGGCATCTGCATAAACACTGGAAGGAAAAAGAAATTAACTGAAATGGTTATCAATTGGTGGTGGAAGTAGGGGTAGGAATGGGAGCAGAATTTTCTTATTTATAATTCTTTGATTTTGACTTCTGATACTTGTAAACCTTATTTCAAACAGATGGGTGGATATAGACAAGAAAGTCTTTCAAGGTTCTAAGTCAGAAGAGAATGTAGATGAATGTACACAAATATGTCTCAGCTTTTTTTTTTTTTTTTCATTTTTTGAGGGGTGGGGAGTGGAACTTCTCAAAACAAGCCTGCAGACTGTGGTGATATGACCTGTGTGAGAGGTTGTACCATTTTGGGGAGTCCATTGCTGATACCATGAGAGAGTTATCAAGTATAAGGACTTGCTGTGGAAAAGAATTCAAGGGCAGTCATTCTGTGAAGCCAATTTCTTTAAAAAAGAAAAAAAAAGGTCTTTCTTAAGTTAACTTTTGTGTAACTGTAAATTATTGTGCAATGGATACTTTTAGAAGGCCCAGGAACTCCCTGCTCCTGGAGATTAAGGAAATGCATTTTACATCTTGCAGCTGCATTCAGTTCTAAACTGACTCTGAATTTGGACTCAAGATTATGGGTCAGCAAAGACAAGGTTGTTTTGGCATGAGAGGGCTTCTTTAGCTCCCAGTGGTCCCTAAGCCTTGCTCTCTGGATGGGAAGACTGGAAGGTATGTGGGGCCCCAGAAACAAGTGGGGTAAGGGGTTGGGGGACAGCTCTGCTCTGGCTGGGGTTTTGGACACATCATCGCATGAGGTGGGAAAAGTCCAGGCCCTGCTCAGCCCCCAACCAAGGTTTGCCAAGTGTTAAGCAAGAGTGGGTATAGTGTTTAGGACACTGGACTTCCATGGAGCACAGCCGTGGCTTGGGAAACATCAGCACACATCACAAGGCATCAGTGCTGGGAAACATGGGACCATGTGGCCTGACCTGGGCTACGATGACAAATGTTTATTTTCCATCCATTTCCTTTTATCACATCCCCCTTCACCACTGTTAACCTTTATTTTATAGACTTTTGGTTAAATGACTTTCCTATATGTCTTGTGATAAAAGAAAGTTTCATATCTTGAGATACAGGGAAGTCATTCTGGCTTATGCATGAGTTAACCTGAATTTTATGCTAACTAAAATAGCCTACGGCCTATCAAACATACACTGTATATCTGCTTTAATTATTAAAGGAAAGGGCACACTGACCCAAAGTAAAATATGTCCATGATAAAAATAAAAGATTAAACACCTCTCTTCCTGGGATGTCAGTGCTAGTCCTCTGATGATAAGACTCCCTTCTCAGGCACCAAGGCCATGCTGAATCAATGTGTACAAGCTGATCTGTTTTTTTTACCTTGAAGAAATGTAACCTCGGCTTGTTTAACGTTCTTTGTTCTGACAAGATATAAATCTGTGCTGAAAACCCTGCTTCTCCAGAGTAGTTTCTCAGTCATCTGGGAAGCTGGTTTCCAGGCTAGCCCTCAGTTTGACTCAAATAAAATTCCTTTCTATTCTTCTTATTGTTAATTGATTATTTTGTAGACAACTGAATGTATATATGTACACTGCTCACTCTCTTTCTTACTCTTTTCACTCCTCATTCTGTTTTGAAGCTCTAACCACAGCTGTGTGTTCATCTTCTGTGTTGCTTCTAATGCTGTATGTGCAGAAAGAAAGTTTAGAAACACTATTCAGTGAAAGGTGCAAAGTGGTGGCCTAAGCCCATTTCTGAGACGTCAGGTTGTAAGGACAGCCCTGAGGGACCCTGACAGCACTCACCCTACTCCCCTGGATGCAGAGATATGCAGACATGTGAGGAACTGCAGCTTTTTGTTTCGCAATCCAAGTTTTTTTGGGGATTTTTAAAAATAGATAAGTCATCCTCAGAGCCCCCTCTGGGGAATGCACCCTGACCTCTCTTCTGGTGGAGTTGCTGGGGAGGAACTCACCCACTTGGGCATCTTGCCACCATCAGGGTCGTGGTGGTGGTACTGTAGCACGATCACCGTGACAACCACAGAGAGGCCCACGATGATCATGGTGCTGGCGAAGTACTGGGCTGCAGAGAGCGCAGATGCAGGGGTGTTACCACAGCACAGTGCGGGGAACCCAGACGGTGGCGTCCTGACCACCAGGGGCTGGGGAGTGAGGCCCAAGAGCAGAGCGTGACCTCTTCCAGGCCTGCAGCCCACAGCCCAGAGAGGCCAGCCCGCAGCATACAGACCTATCTCCTCCAGTCCTGGTGAGCAGCCTCACCAGCTGACTGAACTTCTGGGAACCCTGAGTGCTTCTTTTGGTGAAAGTTAAGTGCACCTCACAGGACGGTGATAAGGCTGTCTGATAAGCAAGCATCATTGTTAGAACTGAAACCACTGGGACACAGAGGAGGTGGTCATGACAGTTATGACTGCAGGCCATGGGCAGGCTGCAGAGATCTAGCAAGGGCAGATCTGGGTGCCACCTAGCTGTCTTTTCAGGCCTGGAAAATGACTCTACTTACTGTAGGCTCTGGCTCCATCAACCAAGAGCCATGGGGGTGGGGAGCGCCAGCTGGCCAGTCTGAAGAAGAGGTCAGCTGCAGTGTCCTTTCAGGCTGAGAACATCAGCTTCAGCTTTGATGGGTAAAGATGCGTTTCTCTACCTCGGCCCAGGTGAGAAGCAGCATGGAGCTCCCTCCTGGTACACTGGTTATCATCTGTGAGCCTAGATGGCCACATAGCCTCTCTGGGCCTAAGTTTCTTTACTGTATAACAGGGACAGAAATGCCTTCTCTGCAGGGTTGGTGCAAAGATTAACAATTTTATGGGCCAAGGGTATAGGAAAAAGTTGGCATAGGTAGGCATTATTTAACTGTCATCTATGATTATTAAACCTTCAGTGTGGAGGAGGGATAAATTAGGAGGTTGAGATTAACATATACACTACTATATGTAAAATAGATAACCAATAAGGACCTACTGTATAGTATAGGGAACTCTACTCAACATTTTGTAATAACCTATAAGGGAAAATAATCTGAAAATATATATATAAAAGAATATATATACACACAAACACACACACACACACATATATATATATAACTGAACCACTGTGCTGTATGCCTCAAACCAACAAGATACTGTAAATCAATTATACTTCAAAAACTAAAAAGGGATTACAAGCATGGATTCAAGTGCAAAAAGAGTATTAAAAATAATGAAACAAAAATATGTATGATCAATGCTTCCTTAAACAAGCAAAATAATAAATTATCCTAACATAAATGCAAATAAATAGATAAACCTTCATTGTGGCTACCCACCAAGGGGCTGAGATCTTAAACAGACATCCTTGTACAAGGCTAAGTATGTGGCCCTACACTTGGTTAAAAATACCTCCTACTCTCCAGGCAGGCAGGAACTCACTGCTTTCCCATGGAGACCAAGAGGAACATACAAGGAGCTACTGGAGGAGGACATTTGAGACTTGACATCAGCATCAGGGACCTCTGGGAAGGGGAGGGAAGGGGGACCAAACCATGACTGTTATGGGCTGCATACTGTGTTCCCCTAAAATTTGTATGTTGAAGTTCTAAATGACAAGTACCTTAGAATGTGACTGTGTTTGAAGAGAAGGCCTTCAAAGAGGAGATTAATTAAAGTGAGATTGTTAGTGTCGTACCTGGTCCAATCTGGCTGGTGTCCTTATAAAAAGGGGAAATTTGTGTACTCAAAGGGGCACAGAGATGTGAAGACACAGAGGAAAGACCATGTCGGGGAACAGCAGAGGGTACCTGTCTGCAAGACAAGGAGGGAGACCTCAGCAGAAACCAACCCCGCTGGCCCTTTAATCTTGGACTCCCAGCCTCCAAAACCAGGAACAAATCAATTTCTCCTGTGTAAGCCACCCAGTCTGTGGGCGTTATTGTGGCGGCCTTAGCAGACTCATACAGTGACCTACAGCTATCCAGGGTGACTGGATCCCACAGCTGAAATCTCGACAACAGAGGTCTAAGGCCAACAGCTGTCCTTCTTCTAGAAGGCCTTCCAGGAGGCCATTCCATTCTTCTAGATGTGGGCTAGGCACCCGCCGAACCTGTGGGTTCATCAGACATCAGGGCCTGCTTACTGCCTGGTTTAGGGTGGTTTCTGCTGCAGGTCTCTACTAAAAGTGAAAGGACAGGGTCAGAATGTCAGGTTGAAGTATCCTTGCTTCTGGAATGGTTCTGGGAAAAACATGACACCCACAGAGGCTCTTTATACCTATAGGCTCTCTGGTCAAATATTACGGATCCAGGAAGCTCCAATAAGAAGGGCCTTGGCTTCTGGATTTGTGAAGTGAAGCCTGAGGGTATCAGTGTAAAGGACCCCTATTCCTACTTACCCCTGGTTAACCACACAGGACTGACAGTGTATAAACTGCTTTCCTCTTTCTGACCTCCACCATCAAGTGGGAGTGGGGACTTTCTTCAAACCTAATATCTACTGGCAGAATGTTTGCTTCCTGTCCTCACAACTGGCTTGGAGGTCTGGTTCCCTGACCAGGAACTGAACCTTGACTGCAATAGCCAGGGTATTGGGTCCTAACCTCTGGGCCACCGAGCACCCCCGCTCTGCATGTTCCTGCTTATTCCAGTTCAGTCCAGTCCAGCGAGGTGCATAGCAACAGGTGATGCTGCATCCTGTGTTTGTTCTCTGTCCCTGGGCAGACCATACACCTGCCTTTGTGTGTGGTTTGTTTCCTCTCTCTATCCCCTTTGCTGGACCAGTCCCTGCTTAACCTACATCACACTCACATGACTGACTGTCTCCCTGATCACAGAGCTAATCAGTAAATACCTACAGGCTTTTCCCCCACAGCCAGTTAGTGACTGTTTAAATTTTTAGATTAGAATGGCTCCTGATTCATAATTTAACAAATGGAAGACCTCTGCACCTTGAAGGTACTCAGCCCAAGGGGCTAAGAGGGCTGTGCCCCTTTGCTGGTTTCCCTGGTAACCAATAGGCCAATCTGACTTCAATTCCCTTAGGTAACTGGTGGGGTGTCACTCCATGACCCTTTCGCTTCAGATGTGTAAGATCTCCCATCTATAAAACCATTGGTGTCTCTGGGCTCTTTCTTCTGCCTAAAGTCTGGGCAAGTACAGGGTTGGCAGGCCTGTGGGGTGTAGCCCAACATGTGGCCAAAATATATTTGTCCTGTTCACCTTCTCTCACAAGCTTTAACTTTCTACAGAGATGTCAAGGTATCTCGGGAAACAACAGCTAAGAGTTAAAGTGTGACAATGAATTTGTGGAAAAACAGTGACTCAAACTAAAATAATGAATCTCTGATGGTAAAAATCTCTGGCTCCATAACAAGTGTGTGGAGAGGTGCATTGTGGGAGGAAAGGGGGCATTTCTGCATCTTAAGGCCAAACCACAAAGATGGACTCCCTGTCTCCTTCTGTGTGCCCAGGTAAGCAGAGGCCATGAGTCAACTCTGAGTAATTAAAGCAAGTCATCCCTTCACAGCAGAAAGAGGTGGTGTGCAGCTCTCCAGGGTCCTGGAGGACTCGTTTCTGCTCTCTGCCTATGCTGGGAAATCCCAGGCACTGTCTAAGCCCAGGTCTTTAGAGGAGCTGGATGCTTGCTTACCTATTAAGGGCACTGAATCAGAGGTCGCAGGCATGATCTCAGCTACCAGCAGCATGAAGACGGTGAGGGAGAGTAAAACTGTGATCCCTGAAACAGAGACATACACTGATCCCTGAGACAGAAAAGAATGTAAGGCCTGAACTCCAGGCAACCTGAGATTCAAAGGAGGTATGAGGGCGGCAGCTGTAACATTCCCAACACCAAATGGAATCCTGGTTTTCTATATTCACAGGAATGGGCATTTTTCTGAGGACTGTTTGAGTCATTTACCAGAATTCCAGAGAAATCCCTGGGGAGACAAACTGGGAAGCCAGAACTTAGAACAACTCAAACTAAATCATTGACTTCAGCACACATATCTCTCCTTTTATTATTAATACATTAGTATCTAGAGGTAATTTTCAAGCAGCAGGAAAACCAAGAGATACAGTTGAAAGACGTGGCTTCTGGTCTTGACTTTGCTACTTACTAGCTGTGTGACCTTGGATAAGTCATTTATGTGCCCAAGCTGAGCCCTATGAATAAAAATATCACCTGCTGTATCAATAAACAATAGATGTTGCAGCCATCAAGCCATCACATTGCAGACTCCCAGATGGTGCACCTGAGGGCATTCAGGATGAGAAAACACAGGATACTGGCCTCGGAGAGCTGAAGCATACATCACAGGAATGATTTCAGTGAACCCAGACTCTTTGCATCTTCCCAAGCATAGAAAAACACTAAATTTATTAACTTGAGAAGTCTGGTTTTTAAATAGCAATCTTTTGATGTTTCGACTACTCCATCTGTGGTAAAAACTCCTATATATATATATATCCTAGTTTCTTCCTTACCTCTTTGGAGCAGTCCCTCAGAGCTATCTGGGATGTTACACCCCAAGCCTGAAGTCCTTAGAAAGTCCACCAAATAAAACATAACTTCACTTTTTGGTTGAGCTTTGTAGTCAGAAAGTTGACTAGAGTAGTCGGACACTGGTAGTCAGAAGTTATAGGTTTGAGAATGATTTCTATGTGTATCAAACAGAATCTTTAGTAACTCTTTGAGATATTGAGGAACTTATTTCACCAATCTAAATCATAGTTTTCTTATCTTCCTATTGGAGGATGGTAAGGAATTACACTGTGTGTGGCAATATAGAAATACAAGCTGATACTATATTAAACTAAACTGTGTTCTGTCCACAACATATTCCAGCTGGCTGCCACCAAGGGGTGGGCAGGGGTGTCAAGAGGGGAAAGGCACAGGCCACTCAGGGAAGAACTTGTCCTTCTCTTGGCATCCCCATCCTCTCTGCAGGATCAGAGGAGCTTGTGGAATCTCAGGAGGGCCGGGCCACCCTACACAGGGGGCTGGTGTGGTGTCAGGGAGTCACCCTGGGCTGGGATGTACTGAGCAGACCCTGGGTATCTCTGCACTGGGCCCCTGACTGCCACCCTCAAAGCAGGCCCCTCCCATCCCAGCTCAGACCCAGTACTCACCCAGGGAGATTTTCTCCCCAGAGTCTGCAGGGAGTAAGAAGACGAGGAGGGCCAGGGCAGAGATGAGCACGCACGGGATGAGCAGGTTGAGGCCATAGTAGAGAGTCCTGCGGCGGATGGTGACTGTGAAGGTCACGTCTGGGTAGGGTTCTTTGCAGCACTCGTAGAACTTCTCACTCCGCTTGCCCAAGATCCCTTCATTTCCGGGGGGCGGGGGAGGTGGGGAGAGGAAGGAACCACCATTGAAATAATGGGACCCTGTTGGTTTTAAGGGACTATAACACACACAGAGGCATGGAATTTGCTAAGTGCAGAAAACTGGCTGTTTGAATAAATGCTTTAGTTTTAATATATATTTATTTAAGGGTACCTTAGTGATATTTGAACAAACTGCAGATTTTTTTTGGGGGGGGACTGCAGATTATATGATCTTTTTAGTTTTTGTCACTTTATTTAACTGAAGGATAATTGCTTTACAGAATTTTGTTGTTTTATGTCAAACATCAACAATAATCAACCATAGGTACACCCATGTCCCCTCCTTCCCGAACCTCCCTCCCATCCCCCTCCCCATCTTACCCTTATAGATTGTCACAGAGCCCTTGTTTGAGTTCCCTGAGTCATGTAGCAAATTCCTATTAGCTATCTATTTTATGTATGGTATTGTAAATTTCCATGTTACTCTCTCCATACATCTCACCCTCTCCCTCCTCCCCTCCCCCCATGTCCATAGGTCTGTTCTCTATGGCTGTTTCTCCATTGCTGCCCTTAAAATTAATTCATTAGTGCCATCTTTCTAGAATCCATATATATGCATAAGTATATGATATTTATATTTCTCTTTCTGACTTACATCGCTCTGTATAACAGGCTCTAGGTTCGTCCACCTCATTAGAACTGACTCAAATGCATTCCTTTTTACAGCTGAGTAGTACTCCACTGTATATATGTACCATAGCTTCTTGATTCATTCATCTGTCAATGGATATCTAGGTTGCTTCCATGCTCTAGCTATTGTAAATAGGGCTGCAATGAACAATGGGGTACATGTGTCTTTTTCAATCTTGGTTTCCTTAGGGTATATGTCTAGAAGTGGGATTGCTGGGTCATATGGTGGTTTTATTTCTAGTTTTTTAACGAATCTTCATACTGTCTTCCATAGTGGCTGTATTAATTTACATTCCTACCAGCAATGCAAGAGGGTTCCCTTTCTTCATGCCCTCTCCAGCCATTTATTGTTTGTAGACAATTTGATGATGGCCATTTTGACTGATGTGAGGTGGTATCTCATTGTAGTTTTGATTTGCATTTCTCTAATAATGAGCGATATTGAGCATCCTTTCATGTGTTACCCATCTTTATGTCTTCTTTGGAGAAATGTCTATTTAGGTCTTTTTCCCACTTTCTGACTGGATTGTTTGTTTTTCTGGTATTGAGTTGTATGAGCTGCTTGTATATTTTGGAAACTAATCCTTTGTCAGTTGTTTCCTTTGCTATTACTTTCTCCCACTCTGAGGGCTGTCTTTTCACCTTGTTTGTAGTTTCATTTGGTGTGCAAACGTTTCTAAGTTTAATTTAGTACCACTTGTTTATTTTTGTTTTTATTTCCATTACTCTAGGAGGTGGGTCATAGAAGATCTTGCTTTGATTTATGGCAATGAGTGTTCTGCCTATGTTTTCTTCTAAGCGTTTTATAGCTTCTGGTCTTACATTTAGGTCTTTGATCCACTTTGAGCTTATCTTTGTGTATGGCATTAGGAAGTGTTCTAATTTCATTCTTTTACAAGTAGCTGTCCAATTTTCCCAGCACCACTTACTGAAGAGGCTATCTTTGCCCCGTTGTATATTCTTGCTTCCTTTATAAAAAAATAAGGTACCCATAGGTGTGTGGGTTTATCTCTGGGCTAGCTTTTTCCATTGGTCTCTGTTTTGTGCCAGTACCAAACTGTCTTGATGACTGTAGCTTTGTAGTATAATCTGAAGTCAGCAAGGTTGATTCCTCGAGCTCCATTCCTCTTTCTCAAGACTGCTTTGGCTATTTAGGGTCTTGTGTTTCCATATGAATTGTGAAATTTTTGGCTCTAGTTCTGTGAAAAAATGTCATTAGTAATTTGATATGGATCACACTGAATCTGTAGATTGTGTTTGGTAGTATTGTCATTTTCACAATATTGATTCTTCCTACCTAGGAACATGGACCATCTCTCTATCTGTTTATGTTGTCTTTGATTTATTTCATCAGTGTCTTATAATTTTCCATATACAGTTCTATGTTTCCTTAGGTAGGTTTATCCTCAGATATTTCATTCTTTTGGTTGCAATGGTGAATGGGATTGATTCCTTAATTTTTCTTTTGGATTTTTCATTGTTAGTATACAGGAATGTTAAGTGATTTCTGTGTATTGACCTTGCATCTCGTAACTTTGCTGAATTCACTGATTAGCTCTAGTAATATTCTGATAGTTTCTTTAGGGTTTTCTATGTACAGTATCATGCCATCTGCAAACAGTGAGAGTTTTACTTCTTCTTTTCCAATCTGGATTCTTTTTATTTATTCTTTTTCTTCTCTGATTTTCATAGCGAGGATTTCCAAAACTATGCTGAATAACAGTGGTGAGAGTGGACACCCTTGTCTTGTTCCTGATCTTAGAGGGAATGCTTTTAGTTTTTCACCACTGAGAATAGTGTTTATTGTGGGCTTATCATATATGGCCTTTACTATGTTGAGGTAGGTTCCTTCTATGTCCATTTTTTTGAAGTGCTTTTTAATCATAAATGGATGCTGAATATTACTGAAGACTTTTTATGCATCTATTGAATGATCATATGGTTTTTTATCTTTCAACTTGTTAATACGGTATATCACATTGATTGATTTGTATATATTGAAGAATCCTTGCATCCCTGAAATAAACTGACTTGATCATGGTGCATCAGCTTTTTAATGTTTTGTTGAATTCTGTTTGCTAAAACTTTGTTGAGGATTTTTGCATCTATGTTCATCAGTGATACTGGTCTGTAATTTTCTTTTTTTGTGTTGTCTTTGTCTGGTTATCGGGGTGATTGTGGCCTCATAGAATGAGTTTGGAAATGTTCCTTCCTCTGTAATTTTTTGGAAGAGTTTCAGAAAAATAGTCATTAGCTCTTCTCTGAATGTTTGACAGAATTTTCCTATCAAGCCATCTTGCCTTGGGCTTTAGTTTTTTGGGGAGATTTTTGATCACAGTTTTGATTTCAGCATTTTTAATTGGCTTCTTCATAATATCTATTTCTTCTTGGTTCAGTCTTGGGAAGTTGAACTTTTCTAAGACTCTGTCCATTTCCTCTATCTTGTCCATTTTATTAGCATGTGTAGTTGCTCATAATATTATCTTATGATCCTTTGTATTTCTATGTTATCTGTTGTAAACTCTTCTTTTCCATTTCTAATTTTATTTTTCTCCCTTTGTTTCTTCACGAGTCTGGCTAGTGGTCTGTTAATTTTATTTATCTTCTCAAAGAACCAGCTTTTAGTTTTATTAATCTTTGTTACGTTTCCTACATTTCTTTGTCATTTATTTCTGCTCTAATCTTTATGATTTCTTTCCTTCCATTGACTTTGAGGTTTTTTTTGTTCTTCTTTTTCCAGCTGCTTTAGATGTAGAGTTAGGTTGTCTGTTTGATGCTTTTCTTGTTTGGACTTGTAGGACTGTATTGCTATAAACTTCCCTCTTAGAACTGCTTTTGCTAAATCCCATCGTGTTTTCATTGTCATTAGTTTCTAGGAATCTTTTGATTTCCCTTCTTCTTTCTTCAGTAACCTCTTTGTTATTTGGTAATGTATTATTTAATCTCCATGAGTTTGTGTTTTTTTGCAGCTTTTTTTCCTGCAGTTGATATCTAGTCTCATAGCATTGTTGTCAAAAAAAATGCTTGATATGATTTCAATTTTCTTAAATTTACTGAGGCTTGATTTGCAGCCCAAGATGTGGTCTATCCTGGAGAATGGTCCATGTGCACTTGAGAAGAAAGTGTATTCTTTATTTTGATGGAAAGCCCTGAAGATATCAATTAGGTCCATTTGGTCTAATGTTTCATTTAAGGTTTGTGTTTCCTTATTGATTCCCTTTTGATGATCTGTCCATTGGTATAAGAGAGGGTGTTAAAGTCCCCTACTAGTATTGTGTTACTCTCGATTTCCCCTTATACCTGTTAGTGTTTGCCTTATGTACTGAGGTGCTCCTATGTTGGGTGCATAAATATTTACAATTGCAATGTCTTCTTGGATTGATCCCTTGATCATTATGTAGTATCCTTTATCTCATAATATTCTTTATTTTAAAGCTTATTTTGTCTGAAATAACGATTGCCACTCTGGCTTTCTTTTGATTTCCATTTGCATGGAATATCTTTTTCCATCCTTTTACTTTCAGTCTGTATGTGTCTCAAGGTCTGAAGTGGGTCTCTTGTAGGCAGTATATATATGGGTCTTGCTTTTGTATCCATTCAGTCAGTCTGTATCTTTTGGCTGGTGCATTTAATCCATTTACATTTAAGGTAATTACTGATATATCTATTCCTATTGTGGAGAAAGAAATGGCAACCCACTCCAGGATTCTTGCCTTGGAAATTCCATGGACAGAGGAGGCTGGCAGACTGTAGTCCATGGAATCACAAAGAATCAGATGCAACTGAGTGACTAAACAGCATATTCTTATTGGCAACTATCCTAATCATTTGAGGTTTGTTTTTGTAGTTTTTTCCTTTCTCTTGTGCTTACTGGCTATGTAAGTCCTTTTAGTATTTGTTGTAAGGCTGGTTTGGTGGTGCTAAATTCTCTTAGCTTTTGCTTGTCTGTGAAGCTTTTGATTTATTCATCAATTTTGAATGAGATTTTCGTCAGGTATAGTAATATTGGCTGTAGATTTTTGTTCCTTCAGTACTTTAAATATATCCTTCCATTCCCTTCTGGTCTGCAGAGTTTCTGCTGAAAGATCCACTGTTAATCGTATGGGTTTTCCCTTGTGTGTTAATTGTTGCCTTTCCCTTGCTGCTTTTAATATTCTTTGTGCTTAATCTCTGGTAGCTTGATTAATATGTGTCTTGATGTGCTTCTTTTTGGGTTTATCCTATAAGGGACTCTCTGCACTTGTTTGACTTGACTATTTTCTTTTCCATGGTGGGGAAGTTTTCAACTATCAGTTCAGTTCAGTTTAGTCGCTCAGTCGTATCTGACTCTTTGCGACCCCATGAACCACAGCACACCAGGCCTCCCTGTCCATCACCAACTCCCGGAGTCCACCCAAACCCATGTTCATCAAGTCGGTAATGCCATTCAGCCATCTCATCCTCTGTTGTCCCCTTCACCTCCTGCCCTCAATCTTTCCCAGCATCAGGGTCTTTTCAAATGAGTCAGCTCTTCACAATCAGGTGGCCAAAGTACTGGAGTTTCAGCTTCAACATTAGTCCTTCCAATGAACACCCAGGACTGATCTCCTTTAGGATGGACTATAATTTCTTAAAAAATGTTCTCAGTGCCTTTCTTTTCTTCTTCTTCTTCTTCTGGGACCCCTATAACTCAAATGTTGGTGCATTTAATATTTTCCCAAAGGTCTCTGAGGCTATCCTCAATTCTTTTAATTCTTTTTCCTTTATTCTGCTCTTTAGCAGTTATTTCCACCATTCTATCTTCCAGCTCACTTATTCATTCTTCTGCCTCAGTTATTCTGCTAGTGGTTCCTTCTGGAGTATTTTTAATTTCAGTAATTGTGTTATTCATCTCTATTTGCTTATTCTTAATTTCTTCTATGTCTTTGGTGACTGTATTAACTGTGTTAATTGTATCTTGCATTTTCTCCATTCCATTTTCAAGTCTTTGGAGCATCTTTACCATCCTTATTCTGAATTCTCTTTCAGGCAGACTGCTTATTTCTTCTTCACTGATTTGGCCTTGTGAGTTTCTACCTTGTTCTTTCATTTGTGCTGTATTTTTCTGTCTTTTCATTTTTTTGTTCTAACTTGCTCCACTTGAGGTCTCCTTTTCTCAGGCTTTAGGGTTGTATTCCTTCTTCCTTTTGGTTTTTGCCCTTTGAGGGAAAAGCTGGTTGAGTAATTTGTGTTGACTTCTTGTTAGGGGTGACTTGTGCCTGTTCTAGTGGGAGGAGACCAAGCAGATCAGGCAGGTAATTACAGAAATATTGGAACATATACACACACTACCACACACATAGTTATAACCAAAGTATTCTAAAGAAGAGTACAGGAGATTGACTTGGTGAGCAGGGGAAAACAAAAGTGATATTGACCAATTAAAAGCAGAGCTAACTAATGCTCAATCTGGAAAACTGGGCCTGAGCAGAGTACCAGCTGAAGAATATAGCAAAGAGAACTCAACAATTTAACTTACTTGGTGAAAAAAGAAAGTGTGTAGGAAAAAACGGAAAAGAGAAAAAGAGAAAAATAAAAAAAAGAGAAGAGAGAGAAAAGACAAAAGGAAGGGGTGGAAAAGAGGGTTAAAAAGAGAGAGAAGAGAAAAAATAGAAAAGCAAAGATAAATGGTTGTATGTGAAAAAGATTTATGTACATTCAGGAATAGCTATAGCTGGTAAAGAACTATAAAGAAATGCAGTTGAATATATAAAAAACAAAATCAGAAACATCACTAAAAGAAAAAAAAGTAAAAAAGAAAAAAAAAAAACAAAGAGGAAAAGCACACTTCTTTTCCAGGTGTGGAAAACCACAGCACCACAAAAGGCTAATGTGAAGGTAGAAATAGGCAGGGGGAATAAACAGTGTGATTTATAAGGAAAAAAAGTTCTCAAGGTCATAGTTCTTCTTGGTTGTGGAGTCTGCTCCCATAGATGGGGTTGGATTAGTGTCCTGTGTTTTCCTGGTTGGGGGTGCTTGTGCCTGTGTTCTGGTTGATGGAGCTGGATTGCATCTCTCTGAAGGGTGGTGCAGTGTCCAATAGTAGGTTTTGGGGGTGTCTATGGGTTTAATATGTCCTTGGGCAGTACTTCTGGCTTTCACAGTGTTAGACATGTCTATTTCTGCAACCGTGTCAAAGTGGCCCTCTCAACATAGCTTCACTGCTGAACTGGCAGATTTTTTTATGTATTTGAATAACACATGCTACTGACTGAATGTGTCCCTCCAAAGTTCACATGCTGAAATCCTAACCTCCATAGTGATGGTTGTTTGGAGGTGAGGGCTTTAGGTGGTGATTAAGTTATAGAGGGAGCCTCAAGAATGGGATTAGTGCTCTTAAAAAAGGAACCCTAGAGAGATCTCCTGTCCCTTTTGCCATGTGAGGACACAGCCTGAAGACAGTGGTCTATGAACCAGGAAGCAGGTCCTCACCAGACACTGAGTCTGCCAACCTACTGATCTTGAACCCTTACTCTCCCAACTATGAGAAATAAACGTCTGTTGTTTATAAGCCACCTGGTCTATGGCATTCTGTTACAATAGCCGGAATGGACTAAGACACCATGATTATAAATAACACACTGTAACTGTGAAGTCGCTTCAGTCGTGTTCGACTCTATGCAACCCCATAGACGGCAGCCCACCAGGCTCCCCCGTCCCTGGGATTCTCCAGGCAAGAACACTGGAGTGGGTTGCCGTTTCCTTCTCCAATGCGTGAAAGTGAAAAGTGAAAGTGAAGTCACTCAGTCATGTCTAACTCTTAGCAACCCCATGGACTGCAGCCCACCAGGCTCCTCCATCCATGAGATTTTCCAGGCAAAAGTACTGGAGTGGGGTGCCACTGCCTTCTCCAATACACTGTAAACTCAATACCATTATAAACATAATTATTGTTTTTATATTTAAATCATTAAATACAGGTTCTCATCAACTGCAATTTGCTGTCCCACCTGATTTTAGGGATTAAACAGATCTGAGTGATATACAGATGCCCATACTTGCACTGACCTTACCATAACTGCAAGTTCCTCATGGAAAGCACTGAATTTTCCAATTGTCTTTTTTTGTGTGTGTCTAATCCTAGAGCTCTCAGTAAATCATGGAGAATGCTGCAGGGTTCAATAAATGCTCATGCTGAAAAGCAGAGTGGAAAATCCCAAACTTTTTAAGCCAGCACAGTAATAAAGCAGCTTCCTTCTAGGTTGCCAGTATTGCATCTTTGCTGGGCTTACCAACAAGGTCCCATTCTCCATTTGGGATATAGCCACTGATGTCTGCCTCCTGCATTTGCAGATCCAAGGACCACCCTCCATAAGACCAGGACCCAAACTTCAGTTTGCACTGTTGCACATCAAAGGGGAACCAGCGCACGTCAATGTAGCAGGAGCTCTTGAAGATGCCTACATGGGCAATAAGACAGACCAAGACCTGCGTTAGATACACAGCTGTCTTGCACTGTTGGTGGAAATGCAAATTGGTCCAGCCACTATGGAAACAGTACAGAGGCTCCTCAAAAAGTTATAAATAGAACTAAATATGACCTAGTAATCCCACTCCTGCATATACATCCAAAGGAAACAAAACCGGTATCTTAAAGAGCTATCTGCACCCCATATTCACTGCAGCATTACTCACAACAGTCAAGACATAGAAAACAACGTAAGTGTTTGTTGATGGATAAATAGATAAAATAAAATATATATGTATCTATACTTAAATTTATAGGGATTATATGCAATATAATATACTCTTTATTATTATTATTCAGCCTTTAAAAAGATGAAAATCTTGCCATTTGCAACAACATGGATGAACCTGGAGGACCTTATGCTAAGTGAAATAAGTCAGACACAGAAAGACACATCCTGTAAATATCATTTACATGAAGAATTTGAAAAAAATAAATTTGAAATCAGAAACAGAGAGCAGAATAGTGGTTGCCAAGGGCTGGAGGGTGGCAGAAATGGGGCAGAAGTTGAACAAAGGGTACAAACTTTCAGTTGTAAGAGGAGGATTCACGGTGAGTATCTAATATATAGCATCGTGACTACAGGTAATATTTCAAGTATGCCTGAAATTAACTATGTGAGGTGATGGGTATGTTGATTAATCTGATAGTGGAAATAAATGGTTTCACAACATGTATGCATATGGGTGTGTATGTGTGTATGTGTGTACATATCATACACACAGACACACACACACAGATATACATGCATTCATGCTAAGTCACTTCAGTCGTGTCCAACTCTTTGCGACTCTATAGATTGTAGCCTGCCAGGGATTCCTGTCCATGGGATTCTGGAGTAGGTTCCCATGCCCTCCTCCAAGGGATCTTCCCAACCCAGGGATTGAACCCATTTATATATACATATATATGTGATATATATATACACATATATACACACATATGTATATATGTATATATACACACATATGTATATATGTATCCATACATATATGTATGTGTGTGTATATGTGTGAATGTATATATGATATATATATTACAATTTCATTTGACAACTACACCTCGATAATGCTGGGAAAAAAAATGCACAGCAATTCCTTGGTCTCCATCACATACACTGTTCATAATACACACAGCCTGCTCTTCATGGAGTGAAACTCTTGCTAGCCTGATCAAAGGTTGGCAAGTTAAATGATGCATCATTATGGATACTCTGCATGTCTCAGGATCAATGCTCTGTGCATATCCCCTGGACCATTTGTGCTCCCTTTAAGAGGAGGAGGAGGAGGAGGTGTGGATACCAGGGTCTCTCATCTGGGTGTGACCAAAGAGGCTTCAGTCCATTCTGCGCACCCAAACTGTAGCTAGACCTGTCCAGAACAAGCTGGATCTTTTTGGAAAAATCTCTAGAAAAGAAGTTGAGCTGAGGCTTTACTGTCTTTTACATTTCAAAGACTATACTGACATTTTCTATTCTGAGAGATTTCTGTGCAAAAAATTAAATGTTCTGTAAACTTTCTCATGCCATGCACGTGCATCTCCAAATTCTAAACAGTAAGAGACATATAAAGAATGTTAAAAAATCCAATAAAAGCTGATAAAAATAATGAAGAGCGTAGAAACAGACTCTGAAAGGTGTGTGTGTGTGTGTGTGTGTGTGTGTGTGTGTGTGTGTGTTTGGTGAAGAGTGGAAGGAGCATTTTCTTTATGTTAAAAATTGACGAAATATTTGGTTTATCTAGAAATATATGTGGAAGATAATTTTAACTGGCTTGAATTCTAGATTCAGAACAAAAATTAACAGGTTTTAGTTGAGGAGGTAGTGTTTGGACAAAAATTAAGAGTTTCCACTGAAAAGAAGAACAGGACAAGTTAGCAGTGAGCTTCCCAGCACATCACTGAGATAAGCCCACTCCAGTGGGCTTTTATGCCCATTTATGCCCAAGTGCTCCCTGCTGCCCAGAGAAGGACCAGAAGGCAGTGATGGCACAAACAGCTAAGGGTCCCAGTGTTCTCAGGGACAGGGCAGGTGCTCTATAAATCTGCTACCAAATTAAAAAAAAAAGTGAATGGAGGAAGGGACTCAGGGACCCCCTCACCCACAACCAAACTATGAAAAGATAATAAATTTCCTGTCTCCTCAAGTCTTTTTAAATGGGATTTGCAGCATCATGGCCAATGTGTGCAGGAATCTGGAAGTCATTACAGACACTGCCCTCTCATTATTGGGCTGGATCCCCTGAAACCCTCACTGCTGGTGGAAAATGAACTCTGTAACTGTAATATTCCATTTCTATGAAATGACCAGAAAAAGAGATTCTTTAGAGACAGAAAGCAGGTCAGTGGTTGCCGGCGGCTGGCAGTGAGGGTGGGGATTAACTGCAAACAGGCAAAAGGGACCTTCACGGGGGTGATGGGAAATGTTCTAGAACTAGATTGCAGTCGTGGTCCTACACCTCTGTGAATTTACTAAATATCCTTGAATCATGTACTTAAATGGGTCAGTTGGATGATATGTAATTTATAATACAAAACAATAATGTAATTTATAATACCTCAATAATGCTGTTAAAAAATAAAAATGTGACAGGGGAAAAAAGTCATTTGATAACCAAGTCTATTTCAAAGCTTGCACCTGAAACACCTTTTGCTTGTTCAGTTGCTAGAGCAGAGCAGCTTCCCAGACAGGTCTATGTGACCCCAGGAACAGGCTTGCTGCCCTGAACCACACTGCCCCACACTCTCCAGCCAGGGTAGGGGAGACTCCGACAGTCAAAGCTCAGTGTGCCCTCCTGACGGACTCCAGGGACCGCGGAGGCTGGGACACAGGTACGGGCCCCAGACGGGCTGGCGGACAGAGGACTCGTGGGCCAGGAGTGCTGCTTCTGTGGCTGAAAACGGCCCCAGCCTTCAATACAACCCACAGCCCCATATTCTTCTACATGGATGACTGCTGGAGATCATTTTCCAAAATAGCCCTCATGATAAAAGATGCAACTTCTAGGCCTGCTGTAAAAGAGTGTACCAGTGATGGAAGACCCTCTTTGAGCTCTGTGTTAGGAAGAAGGTTTGCAAGGCCTGGGGGAGGCGAGGAGGGGTTGAGGAAGCAGTGAGGAAGCACAAGCTGTAAGACCGAAATCCTGAAAGTCTGAAGTCCTTCCATCTCCGCAGACAACAGTGGATGATGTTGGCCTGTGACAGGTTCAGTCCCTCACACATTTGTTTACCTCTACGTGGGCCAGGCCCCTGGTTGATGAGTGGTGGTTCTAATAGGAATAAACACAGATGCTTCCTTTGGGGCACTTACCCTCTGTTAACCCGGAAGAGCACAAAAACAACCACCCAGCAGGCAAAGCCAGCTCTACTGTGAGCGCTGTGTGTGTGTGTGCGCGTACACGCGTGCGTGCGTGCGATATGCAGAGTGTGTAGCGTGTGGTGTGCTTTTGTGTGATGTGTCTATTTGTGTGGTGTGTGTATGTATGTGTATGGTGGGTAATGTGTATGCATGTGGGGGGTGTGTGTTATGCAGTATGTGTGTGTGGTATGTGGGCTGGTGATGTGGTGGGAGGTGGCTGCAGGCTGCCTGGGAGCAGGAAGTTAAACAAACAGTTGCAGTTGAGGAAATAACTCTGGGAAAGAACATGTGAAAAACCATCCAGAAGGTTTTTAAAAAATCTGTTAGTATCTCAAGGCGATGAAGCCCAAAACTCCCACCACATGGCTTCTCATGAATGGCCCAGGGCCCTGCAAACTGATAGGAATGACGGGCTGGTGAGAGGAGATTCAGTCCAAGGAAGCAGTTATCCATCAGCTGCCTGAGAAGGAGAGACATGCTTTCAGGAAGAAATCGTCGGATCTCATCTCTAACCAGTGAGATGCGCTGGGCTTTACTGTGCACACTCAAGAAGCCAGTCCAGCAAGGTCAACATCTGGAGGGCAACACCTGCCCAGGTATCCAGTGTAGTGGGAAGGAAAATTGGGGTTGCGAGGGAAGAAATGGCCGAGGGACTGGCTTGTAGATTGTAAGGAGGATGGGAATGACCTAACAAGTGAGACTTGTTTTAGTTGTGTAAGAAATTTAAAGAATACAAGACAGACAATAAGGACAGAGGTCATGTGTTAGCAAAGACAGCTTGAGCCATGATCCCAAGACAAAAAACAGGAAGATGGCATTGCCACATTCAGGGAATACACGGGGGCATGGAGGAGAAGAAGGCAGGAGCAACAGGCATGTGTGGTAGCTAAGGATGCCCAGAGCACAGAGCCAGCTGCTGCCCCTGGGGGCTCCACTGGGCACCCCAACCTCCCCCACACTGTCTAAATGTGGGGGACCAAGGGAGTGGTGCTTACCTGGAGGGAGGTACTGGCAGTGGCCGGAGGAATTCACTAACACATTGGTGTGGAACGTAGCATCAAACCGTTCATCAGCACTAGAAAGGAGAGAAGGATCCGTAAGCCAAGCCGGCCAGGCAGTGGGTTCCCCGTGCCCTTGGGGTGGTTGTTCCAGCGGTCTGAGCAGCTCTGAGAAGGGCTATTGCTTTCAGGTGGGGCAGCTGGTAGCAGTGTGAGAGCCCCACGTGGGGCTGACCTGGTAGGTCTTCCCAGAGGATAGGGGGATGGGGCCAATGCCTTCCTTCATTTCATAGGGATGCTGATTTTTTCCATATGCATGTTAAACAAAGCTCTTAGCAAAAATGAAACCCAAAGACAACTTAGGAGGACATTACAGATGAGACAATTCAATCTATCTGCAGGAGACAGAGTTGGGGGAAGCAAAGTGCCTCTCTATCAGTCCAGAAGACTGGAATTTGGACCCACTGTATTCAGGGCTCTAGTGTCAGCCCCATGAATGGGTCCAAAGCTCAGATGGTGCTTGATAAATTCATCTTGAGTGACTGAGGCTGCAGATACTCAGGGGAGCTGGGCAGCCTTTAGGGGTACCCGAATCTAGGACTGGTGATGACAGGTGGAGAGAACAGAATCAGGTTCAAGTTTAGATAAATGCACCCCACCCCACCCCTAGCCATGTTCAGAACCTCCTCCAGACAGCAGTGACCAACTCGGTTAAAAGAAGCACACAAAACAGGAAGGAAAGAATAATTAAGACCAAGAGCCCTTAATATCCAGGTCTTTCACTTTCTGTGTTCTGACACTTTGACATCTGGGGCCTTGCTGACCCTGGAGGGACTGTCCCCATCACCCCACTGCCCCAGATTAACCAATTCCTGGAGACAGCAAACAACTCAATCAGGTGAAAACCAACTAATCCAGAGCCCACACCCCAACTAGCTCCTTTATGGAGCTCTCATCTCCCAGCCACCATCCACCCACCCTAATCACCCCAGGGGTAGACACCAGACAAAGAGCAACAAGCCATATGCACCAGAGCCTGCTGAAAGCATTCCAAGTTCTAGCCATGCTTACCCTGCCTCACCACTTCCATTCTGTGGAAACCACAATAAAGGCTTTTAAAGCACGTTTTCTCCCCAAGCCCTCTGCCTTCTGATTGACCCTGGTGCTTCCCTGTGTGGTTAGCAAGCCTCTGGTTTCTAGGGAATTGTGAGTATCTAATAAACTTCCTTCCTTCATCATTTCTGTGTCTGCATCTTACCATAACCTGATTAAAACATATCCTTAAAATACTGCCCTATGGGTGAATAAAAAGTAAACGGCCTTAAGAAAATGTAGGCAGCCAGTCATGGTACCAGCACCATGAGTTAAATTCCCTTCCTTTTAGTAACTGGAGGACCTCTGCTATGGGCTGCCCATGTCTCCAGAGCCTCTGCGGTCTTTTCTGTCTCCAGCATTCTCTAAAGGGGAAAGTCACTATCACGAGATGTCTGAGGACAGGCTTCATTGTGAGAGACACAGTGAAGGATAGAGACAAGAAAGATCCAAGAAGAAACTGTCAACGAAAGGAATGAAAAATCACCTCTTAAAAAAAGTAATACCCTCATAAAAATTCAAATGGATACTGCATTTAGAAAAACAGAGGGCAATATGGAAGTTAAAATATGACCTATGAAATACATCTTCAAAAATGAGTGGGAGGTTTGGCTGATAAGAATCACTGAGATGAAATATAGGACAAAAGGGATGAGGGTCTCAAAGTAAAGGCTGGGGAAGTTCACTCAACAGAAGTGGAGGAAATATCAGGGGAGTGGGAGGGAGAGAAATCACATGCACAAATTTTAGAGCTGAAGGAAACCCCTAAAGTATGAAGGCAAAAAAAGCTGTTTTCAAGAACATTCAGGTGTTTCTTATGTATATTTTCTTGGCCATGGACTTGATCATCAGCTCCAGAAAAATGAGGGTGAACACTAAAGAAGAAGAAACAAACTTTCAGACTAAACTTAAAGATCCAGAAAAGGGATTTTCAGGATGAACTGTGTAGAGGGTCCAGTAAAAGGGTTGGGGGTCCAAATTATAGCAAGATATGAGGGGTCTCTGAAGAGTAAAGTGGATTCAGAGTAATGAACAGAAGAAACAACAAGTTGGAAAACACCACAGATTTGATTAAGGACTCATTATTTTTAAAATCTTTAAGTAAAAAACAACACCAGAAACTTCAGGAAAAACTGTACAAGTAAGCTTTGGTTTGAAGATAAAAAATGTGATGATGCTTACAGGAAGAAGACTAAGCTATGATAAAATCATAATCCTCTGAGATGAAGAAGGTCATGTCCACTCCCTCAGTTGTAAACACATTCAGGGAGAGAGAAGCAGGAAGGGTCAAGATGTAAATATTCTTTGACAGCAGCCTGTACCCAAGTGTCCTCATGAGACACCAACAGTGACTGATGCCAAACAGCTGAGCATGTGGGCCTTCATAAATTCACCCTGGATTTTACCCTGCTTTTTAAATTAGGGTCTCTGGAACTCCAAGATTCTGTGGAGGTGCTTCAGGCTTCTACAAGTGTTTGATTCCAAGTTTCTTTTCCTTGTGTTTCAAAATACTAATAAAAGTCCAAACACACTCAAACAATTGTTTTCAATATCTTAACTCTTCAGACACTCAGTGTATTAATTAATTAACGTGGCCTGATTCACTACTTTACTGGGAAAAGTTTAGCTTAAGACTCCTCTTGCCATGAATATTGTATGCATATAGAACTCTTGGAAATGAGTCACCCAGTAAGATTTCAGGTGCGCAGTACTACTCTATTAAAACAGTTCACATTTGATCCTACAATTCCAGCACAGAACCTGCATCTGCCTTGACATCTCTTTCCACCTCTGTAGCAACAAAGGCAGAAAGCACAGTGCGATGCTGGCATAGCTTTACTCATTTTAAGCTTGGGTGTTATATTGTCTAATTTTTATAGTTATAATAAAGACTGCGGGCAACTGTTAGTGATTAATTTTGGATGAAAAACATATACACAGCTCCTTCTTCACAGATTTGAATCAATTTAACTGACTCTAGAGATCACAAGGCAAGTGGGTAAAAACAAGATAAAAATCTGTTACCACTAGCAACAGCTTACCTTTGTGACTCAGTGATTTCTGAATATGGTTCAACCAAAATAGAATACTGAGATAAATGGAACTGTACCACTGTCATCATTATCAAAATTCAAAATCTTAATACTCATTGTGGGAGTTTTAGGTTCTTTCCCACAGGCAAATCGATTTTATATGTGAATGATATAAAAGTAATTCTGGTAATAATTATGTGCTAATACCACTTTATCTGTTTTCACCATTAGGGCTGGAGATAAACTTTGTTTGAAAAGGGGTCCTGTGCTAAAATCTGAGTCTGAAAATGGGAAGGGGATGAAAAGTCCCTGTGAAACACGAGTAACCAAACTATGTCAAGGACCTGACAGGCGACAATACCAGGAATGTTCAGGACACAGGGCATCACAGCCTCTATGGCCAGCAGACTCTGGTCACCCTGGAGGCTGCATGGGCCCATATAACTCAACTCATTTTCTTTCTCTGTGCTGGTGCACATAAGAAACCTTCTGCGTTAAACTTTTAGGAACTGGTCAAACACATATATTTTTTCTTGACTACTGGAAAACAGGGCGTAACCTCAGTTTTTGACAACCCTGGTACATGGCTCTTCACACCCCTCAAAAGCTCTTGTCTCTGACTGCCGTGGTCCCTGTCCAGCTAGTGATGGATAGATGAGCTTGCACTTAGTATGAGGAGAGCTCTGGGCACCCCCACCGAGAGGTGCTCATGGAAAGCGAGGGTTATTTAATCCCAATACTGAAGGTGCGGGTCCTACATCATCAGTCAGAGGACTTCTGGACGGGCTCTAAGGATGCACAGAAGGCTCAAAAGTGGAAAGGTGAGCGTGTCGCCAGCAGAAAGTGCAGTCTGGTCACATGCGTGGAGGTAGACTGGACCAAGGGAGGCTTCACGAAGGTAAGGTGTGCTTGGAGCAGGGGTGAGTGAGATGCTGTCCTAGGCAGCAAGGCAAGTACTACAGGGGTTTGAGAGTAAACCACCAGTGGTGTGCCTGTAGGACCCATCCTTATGGGAGGATTTCAAACTGTGCTTCCAGATGTCCCAGCAGCACAGGCAGGCAGAGCCCAGGGAGCACAAGCGAACCCTCGTGGTCTAGGCCAAGATTGCTCCCTCCTCCTCATCCCCAGGGTGTAACACAGTGCCAGATCTGGCCCTGGGAAGTGCTCCTGGCACTGGAAGCAGAGCCCTCCAATCCCAGCTCTGTGCAACCTCTGCTTATCTGACCTGGCAGCACCAACCCCCACCTCTGAGCAAAAAAACCCAGGTACAACACACTGCTGCCCAGAGCACACTGTGGGCTCCTGAGGTGAGGACTGTAATGAACAGGTTCTTGGGCACCATCAGACCTGTTTCCCCTGAGGTCACACAGTCCTCAAAAGACAGAAAGCGGGAGAGCAGAAAAGACAAAAACGATCTTAATTTTCCTAACACATAAAAAAGAAATTATGATTACGTGATGAGGATAGAGATGTCAGTAATGCTACAGTGGCAGTTACATCGCAATATAAATGTGAATCAGGGATTCCCTGGTGACTCAGCGGTAAAGAATCTGCCTGCAATGCAGGAGGTGCAAGAGCTGCAGGTGGCGCAGGTTTGATGCCTGGGTGGAGAAGACCCCTGGAGGAGGATCTGGCAACCTACTCCAGTATTCTAGGCTGGACAGAGGAGCCTGGTAGGCTACAGTCCATAGGGTCACAAAGCATCAGACACAACTGAAGTGACTTAGCACACGGCACATGTGTATCAAATCAACACACTGTACATGGTAAACATACAATATTTTATATATACCTCAATTATATCTCAATAAAATAATAAAGTTTAAAATATTGTAAGAAAAAAGTATGTGAAGAAAAAAGAGGAAATCCATCTATCTCAAACAACTGTCAGTGGAAGGTGTCATTTATCTTAAATCTCTTAATTAAAAAAAAAGCTGCCAATTACATGTTAA